CTCAAATGGACGTTGCATGGATCTGTTGCAGAACGAGCAAGAGTATTGCGGGCCTGGCAGATTCAAGATTGAGTTTCGAGTAAATGATTATTTCAAACGAATCGCGACAACTTCCATGTATCCTATAATCGACGTGGTGTTTGATGTACAGCATCCCGACGAGCACTATCACATTCCTCTATTACTGAATCCTTTCGGATTTACTACGTATCGCGGTTCATAATCGGTGTCACGCTGAAGATGATTTCACTATGGTTGCATGTCAACGAATATTACAAAACGGCCCGCATCCTTCGAAAGATTTACTAGAAAACATATACTTTATTCGGTGTTTGTACGTGCCTCTATGTGTGAATTGAATTGTGTGAGAAGAGAGAACCGGTATAAATTTAAATATTGGCGCAAGATTTACAAAGTCTAGTTGCATAAAAGATAAAATAAGAATAATTATTATAAAAGAATTTATTCTATTAAATTGAAAATTTGATCATTTATATTAAGGAAGACAAGTATTTTATAACTCTTATAAAATACTCTACAATTCTCTACTCATTGACTTTTAATTTATTATAAAATAAAAAAATTTCTAACTCTGGCATGTTGACTTTCTGATCCTCAGAATTTCAATTTAAGCGATTTATTGTCACGTATTACGGAACTGGAGACTTGTTATAAAATTTAAAAATTAGACCGGATTTTGATTGGATTATTCAGTTACTTCCTAGATTTCTATTTAAGAAAGATATATATATATATAGAACTATTTAAAACAGATTCTCCAATTGAAAGTATTTCATTATTTGAGGAAATACAATAGAAGTCTAAAAGAAATAACTGAATAATTTTCCTACCTGAATCGTTTTATTATTTCCTAAAAAAGATAATAGAATTCTAGGAAATAATAATTGAATAATTTTCTGATTAGAATTTCACTTTGAAATAATGCTTCAAGATAAATTGCGAACTTTCTCTCAATTATGTTTTATAACAAATTTAGTGTGAAAAAGCAAAAATTACAGCTTTTATAAAAGTTTTGAAAATAATTGTGTGTAGATTTGTAGAGAAAATGATTAATTGTATATTTAGCATTATTCAAAAGTACTTATATTAAGCTAATCTAAATAATTATACACACATGCACGCGCGCGTGCACACACATACACTACACACACACACACACACACACACACACACACACACACACATATATATATATATATATATAAATTACGTACTTGTTGTCTCTAACATTTACAGTAGTATCAATTTTATGTTCGATTATAGGTGATGCCAATGCAGCTTCATGTTTAGCCCATAAAGCATGCACACTGGCAGTAACATCTTTTCCACAGCGTGGTGATACCGTTCCCCATACTTCCACTTTTCCCAACGCAGGTACTGAGTTTTCTGTTTTACATATTGTTATACGTAAAACATGAGCGCTTTTAGTTAAGTATCCCATGGAGATTTTAATATAACGTCTTAAAAAATTTTCTGGCACGGATATCCTCTCGAGATCGATCTCGCATGGATAGAACAATAATCCAGCATCGTTAGGACTCAGAAATCCACTGGATAGCAAGGAATATGGAGTGTTATTGTCGTCGGTGTTTCTAGAATAAAGCTGAAAACCTGACGACTTCTGCGACCCGACGGATGGCCAGATCAGAATATGATTGATCCTCACATTGCAGAGAAATGTAATGTCTATGTGTATCGGTGGTTTGATGCAGGCGTATGCCAAATATCCTTTAGAAGAACCGCTTATTAAATTAGTCACTTCGTACCCTTCTGTACTGATTGCGCTGCATTGGATTTCTGGACGTAAACGCGGATCGCAAAAATTCAGAAGCATTTTGTACTCATTCGTAAATTGCTAATGACATCTGCAATAAGACTCACGTTCGCACGCAATCAATTGTCATAAAAAATTATTGCGTATATCCATAAATTAATTAACTGCTACATACGTGTCGATAAATTTTTTGAAAATGCGATTGAATACACCATCGGCCTACGATATTACCGAACAGAGTATCGAATCAAACTGACTTGAGAGATGTAGAATAAATGTAGCGAACAAGATAATATGGAGCAACGACTCATGTAAACCAGGCAAACTGATATATCTGTTTCCAACTTATTTTGTGTAATAAACAAGTGGAATAATTAATAATTATTAATAATACAATATATAATTTCAATTTTACGATATTTATATTCAGCATTACATATTTAAAAATTTTATCACATTATGTTTATATAACATAAGAATGTTTAAAAATGTTCAAAAAATTGATCGTTGTTATGATTTGTCATTATGATCGTCGATTGATTTGTTGTTAAATTTGTAGACAAATTGCGATTGGTTAATTCCAATGGAACAACTAGCCGATTAACTTAATCAGAGGGTGATGAAAGTCCTCAGCAGAAAAATCAACTTTGCAACTATATAAAATTCTTTAATATGATTGATTTATTTAGATCCGTGAGGAACGAAATAAAAAACAAAAATCAATTATATCAAAGATTTTTACACAGTTGCAAAGCTGCTTTTTTACTGAACGCAGCCATTGGTTCTTGCCTAGTTTCTTGACTAGTTCCTCGCTAGATATAATTCTAGAAACCAATCATAATAAAGAATCATTGAATGCTCACAGAACTTTTGTCTACTGAATGCAGCCATTATTCGTAGTAGTTTATAAAATGCGGGAGTAATCCACATTTGTCCAAATTATAAAGCAAAATTCGGAAAAGGAATCGTCTCGCAAAATTCTCGGAAAATTGAAAATTAGGATACGATACTAGCTAACTTTCTGGTAATCTAATAAATATAAGAAAATATTAATACCAATGATTGATAGATAAAAGTTTTTTGCATGTACACGTGTAAAGTGTGTTAGGTTATAAACGTTGCATATGTGTGCAAAAAAATTACACACACACACCACACTATATATATATATATATATATATATATATATATATAGTAAGTTTAATGATATTTACAGATAAAAGATTTCGTTAACTCTAAATACTTTTTCTTTTGTTTAGCGCCATCGAGTATAATCCTTTAAATAAATACATTAAATACATTAAAATGGAGGTTGATATGACTATAGTAAAGGAGGAGAACATCTGTCCTGAAGTTTCTTATGAAAATAAACTTCGTTTCGTAAGTGCTATTGCAAAGCCAATGGCACCAAAGAAATTAGTAAAAAGAATTTATAAATGTATAAGAAAAGGTGAGCTATTCACATTACTATTACTATTATTTAATAATATTTTGTATGAAATAATATTTCATAATTTTTTTATATAAAGTTATGTGTATAAAGTTACATATATTTGTTAAGAAATGTTGCATTGAATTGTATGCAAGTTAATTTTCTATTTTGTAGCGTCTAAGCATAAAACATATACAAGAAATGGACTAAAAGATGTTCAAAAGCATTTGCGTAAAGGAGAAGTAGGGTAGGTTCTTTCGATAGAATATTAGATTATAAGATATTAGGTTTGGATTTAGTTGAATTTTTTATATTGCAGAGAAAAAAATAAAAAGAAATTAAGAAGAATAAGCTTTTAATATAAATATTTTTTATTTTGTCTTTTTTTTCATTTTAGCTTGGTCATCTTTGCTGGAGATGTATATCCTGTAGATATCATGTGCCATTTACCAATTGTGTGTGAAGATAAAAATATTCCTTATTGTTTTACGCCATCCAGAATGGATCTCGGTGCGGCAATGGGCATGAAGCGTGGAAGTCTCATGGTACTTATAAAGGAACATCCTGAATATAAAGAATTGTATGATGAAGTTAAAATTGCAATATCAAACCTTTCGTCGCCTTTGTAATTTTCACATTTAGACATTAAACTTGATATATTGTTTTTCATTTTTATAATTTAGGTCAAATTTTATATATTGAAATTATACAATATATAAAATGTCTTTCTGTAAATAAATTTTTTATTTTAAATATATCGATACTTTGTAGCATTTAAAAAAGAAAAAACACTCGTGACATTTAATAATTATATCTCTTAAGACAGTTCAACAATTAACTTTAAATTAATAATATCTTTTACTATTAATTTAAAATTAAATCCGTCATAATAACAGCAATAAATAAATGTTATCCTTTGTTAGTCTTAGTATAGTCAAAACGATATAATATTGTTCTTCAATATCTCTGGGCCCGCTTAGCAGTCACGCTAACTCCTGTAAGACCAACTGTCTTTAATAATACCTCGGTCGGTGATAATATATTTAGAATTTCTTAGTAATATAAAAATATTGTAAAATAAAAAATTTTTGAAAAGTGTAGAAAATGTTTACATTCAAAAATAACAGATATATTCTGTAATTGTTTAACAAAAGAGTATATTTAAAAAAGAAAATAAAATTTTACAATTAAGATGTAATTAAAACCATGTAAAAGTATGTCTGGTCAAATATTCTTAACGGCATATTGTAAATAAATTTATTTATTCATGAATGATGCGGAAGGACATCCCGTGCCTTGAATGAGATTATTCGTACAAATAATATAGTCGTATCTGCTAAATATTTATCACGTCCGTACGCAAAATAGTGCGTGATATTGTATGTGTGTGGATATATGTGTGTACGTGATGTATACTGTATATATATATATATATATATGTATGTATGTATGTATGTATGTATGTATGTATATACATACATACATACATGTGTATGTGTATATGTGTATATAATGTATGTATATGCAATATGTGTACACACATCACACACACACACACACATACATATTACATATTATGAAAAGCTATTATCACTCCTCAAGGTAGATGAGCGTAGAACGACGATTCGCATTCACGAGTACAGATTGAACCGAAACGCAGAAATTATCGTGATCGGTTCGATCGATTAGAGAAGTGCGAAATTAATCAATGTGGATTGTCGGCCGATCCTTTTTGAACTACGTCTCTCGTGTTCTTGTACATCTTAGGACACCGCTGAACTAAATTACGATTACAGGATAAGTCATATTTAATAGCTAATATTACTTGTCCTTGTTACATCGACAGCTATAAAAACCTATGTTCTTTCTTTGGACCTGCATGTACTATTTGATTGCGAATGCAAAATCATATACATAATTATAGAACACATTGCGATCTAAATTACAAGTAAATTACAAGTTAACTATAATTGATGCAATAAGAAAAACGAGTGTATAAAATATACGGAAAAAAGAATTCGGAATCAAAGTATAAATATGTTAGAAATATTTTATGTATTTTATGTTTATGAAACCGCTAAAATTTTAAGCAATTCTTTCAGAAATAGTTTTGAGCGAGAAATGAATAAACACTTTGATATTCGTACATATATACAATATTCGTACATTTGTAAATTATATTTTCACGTTTGATAATATTAAAATAGATTAATCATGTTTAATTTTATATTTTAAGTTCATCTGTTTGGACAACCAAATATTTTCCATATAAAATTTTTCTTATTAAAGGCTTTATACTTTATAAGAAGAGAAAGCTATAAAATGTTATAAGAAAAAAATTATATATGCAGTATACAAATCATGAAAAGAAGAAATAAGAAAGAAAATATACCATGTTTAGCTATGCATATTTATGGTTGTTATTTAGAACAATCTCTTAATAGCATACAGAGGATTCGTCTGTCATGAGATCAAGAAGCCAGTGTTTCTAATTGGAATGAATTCTTTTAATTAACGCATTCTTTTTAATGATGCAAAAGCGAAATATCACAGATAAATATATTTTCTATATGATCAGCAATCATTGAAAGCAAATGATGCAAATTTATGGAAATGAAACATTTGATAACTGATATTAAATATTATAGTACGATAAAGCCTCATTTATCGCTATTAGAAAAATATATCGCTTATTATGACGATAAGAAAGTGCACGATAATTTTAAATTGTTGGTTTATACAAATTTAAAATTAAAATTTAAAAATATTATAAACATTACTCGGCATAAAGACGAATGCAAAGACAATGAATTAAAAAGCAGACGTGAATTAACATGTAACTAAAAATGAGTGAACAAATTTAACAAAAATATGTCTGTAAGATGCTGCTTAAAAGAGATTCAGATTCGATTTTTCTCTGTTGAAAATTCATTTCAACGAAGTAACATTGTTTTTATAGCCGCAATTCTAATGAATAATACTCTAACAGATTTAAAAATTCGCGTTGTTGACCTTCTTCCCGATATAACGTAATTTCCAACAGGTCTTTTATTTTAAAATTAATTTCACAGGTCTTTTATTTTAAAGTTAATTTCACATCACAAAAAAATAAATAACTCAGACACAATATAAGTTGAGATTCCTGTTTGAACGATTTGAAAGATTTGAATGATTTGAAAAACGTATGTCAGTCCTTAAAAGATGGAATAATCGAATTATGTGTAAATAAATAAATTGCATGATACTTTTTACATTATTCAACTCATTCGTTCGACATACAACAATGTCTAGATATTATTCTCATAATTTTCATGTCCATGACGTCATTGAAGCGATGTTGGAGGGGAAAGAACAAACAAAAAAAAATAATTAGTAAAGCATTATGTATTAAATGTGACTTATTATATTAGTCTGTCTCGTCTCTCATATTGCTTCGATAACGTCGAGGAAATAATTGTTCCACTGTCACTCTCTCGCTCGCGAGAAAATCGCACGCGAATTCTTTGGTTTTTTTTTCGACTCGTTTATTAATATGACCGCTCTTAATTCTACTCGCCTCCTGTTTTATCCAGTTTCAGTATAAAATATACACACTTATGGCTAGATATATTATATATACATGAGCGACGAAGAGGACAACATTGACATCGAAATTGACGTAGCGTACAAGTGGGACGTTATTCTCATCCTCGCTGGGACAGACATGCACCACCGCGTCTCGCATCCGATTACGCTGGAAGTGCTTTCTCTTTTCCACGTCTCTCCTCGCTTAAATGTAATTCCGTTATTCAGGAGTTATCAGGCAGTAGCGTAACTTGTTGCGAATGCGTGTATCAGCGACAAAACGCTTTCGGAAAATTATCATGAATCGAAATGAATTGGAAAGAAAAATATTCGCTTTTTTCCACATTTTTCAGAAAAGAATCATTTTCATTTCTAATTCATTTGTGTGCATAATAGCCCTAAGCCCCTTTCCCTCTTCGTTTGTTCATCGTCCCATCTCTTGTTTCACCTACTTTCTTTTGCAAATTTGACCTAATTTTTTATAATTTACCATGTTTCACGATAGCGAGTCGTTTGAAAAGTACGAGGATGATTATGCAAAATAACCAGAGCTAACGAGTATCAAATTATTAATGTTAATACCTTAACACCGATTACCTTAACAATTACATGTTACGACTAAATGTTACGACTTAATGTTACGACTAATTGTTAATATTGTTTATTGTTAATATTATGCTAATATCCGATCGTTACAGCCGGGCAATATTACATTTCTTTCGAATGTGCGCAAGAATCAGTTTTATAAGTTACTCCCTGAAAAGTATGCAAAGAAATCTAAATTTCTCTTTCTCTTTCGATTTATCATTTCATTATTTAATATATCGCTTGCACAATGAAATTAAATCAGAATCAAACTTTACTTGAGATAGATGTTTATACATTTATACATTTATACATTATCTCAATTTAATATTTCGTGCTTCAATAATGTCGTAATAAAATTGTAAAAAAAAAAATAAGATAAATATAAAATAAATCTCAGATAAAACATTCCCGGCCGAAACGTGTTTTTCGTGGACGAGAAAATAGGAAGCTTTGCCTTATCTAAATTCCTAAAAAATTGATACATTTCGTCTTTTATAAATATAATTATTTCTCTCTCTTCTCTCCCTTCTCTCTGTCTCTCTCTCTCTCTCTCTCTCTCTCTCTCTCTCTCTCTCTCTCTCTCTCTCTCTCTCTCTCTCTCTTTTTCTCTCTTTCGTTATCTATATGATAAATCTCGTCACTGCCGCGATGACAATGATAATAGCGTCATCGCAACAGAAATTCATTATCATAATCGATATGTTAATACAGCTGTCGCGATATTTGGCGTTGATCAGTTCCCTCTCTTCGCGAAAATAAATGGATCACAACAATCTAATACAATTGTAAATTGCTATTGCGATATAAGAGAAAAAGTTTTATTTAAATTCACTCAAGTTACTCAGATAAATTCTATGAAAGGAAAGAACATAGCGATTTTTATCGCAGACTTTTACGGCTGGAATGAAGGAGAGGCAGAACTTATCGTCGCATGTTCTTCGTAAAGAGTACAAATTTGCACAAACTTACACGGTACGGCATCTCGTGTCGCGTATCTCTTAACTACATACCAGTCTTGGGCGTCTTCGAGTAAACAATGATGATGTAATCACGGCGCAGAATATCTAAACTATCACTTTACGTGTAACTAAGCTATCGCTCAGACAACACGAATGTCCGAGAGACGAAATGTTCGAAAGGCGTCTAAATAACGTCACGGTAAATTAAGACGTCTTCTAGACAACTTTGCAATGACTTTCAGACTACATTTAGGTATAAGAAATAATCCATGTCTTTCATTCTCTTTATATTAATTCAATTGCTCTACCTATAAGGTGACAGTTTAAGTATTCTATATGTGGAGAGAGTGTAAGTCCTTACGCTTACTGGCCATCGTGGTTATTGACCGTTTGCATTCGTGAATCTCTATTTAGCGGAAGTTTTTATTCACTTCCGACTCAGCGATATATTTATTCCTAAATAAAGTGTAACATTTTCTCGTGCAACAAATTTTTAAAAATGGCCAATTTATATTTTTCTATTTCCTTTTAAAGCTCAATTTTATTAATTTACAAGTTTGCTACTTGTGTTTTATATTGCTCGAACGAAAGCTATTGTAAACAGAATGGTAACGCACAATTAGACATTATTATTACTGATAAGTCTTCTTACTGAAAACTTTAGTTGTGTAACCACAAAAGAATATTCCTCAAACGGCCAATGCACCTCAAAATGTATTGTTTTATCTAAGTATATCCGTAAATGCCCAACACTGTTGTACCATAAAATAGCGGAAAATCGATCAATCTTTCCAAAGTCTATCACGTCCTCTCCGTTTTATGACACGAGACAGCAGTTTGGCTAATTGCCACTGATTGTCGTGAGGCGCCGATTGTCCGACTGTTCTCTGTCCTATTAACAGTATTAACAGACAGCGATAACAGATCGAAATGTGAAAAGTGATCGACTTTGGCTGATCCGCTGTATTTCACGATACCGCTTATTAGCTGCGCTACTGACTAAAGCTATTGCTCATTTCTTCAGTCTAACACATCGACGATAGGATGACTATGTTACGCATGCCATACGTCCCGTTCCTTTTAAACGCACGTTGCGTTTCTCCATGTGAAATCCATAATAATTCAATATTTTCGCTCTACGTCTCGCTCTTGAAATACATGTACGCATAATAATCACTACAATAGATCGCGAACGATTGTCACGATAATCACCGATCCGTGAAGAGAATTATACCGAAACGGGACAATCATACGCGATCGATGCTAGATACGTAATCCTCCAACAATAAAACCGAAAATCGCGAATTGCATCGGCGAAGGCGGCGATATTCGCATGATGCAAGATGCGTTATGACATTTACAAAAATCACTGTTGACAACATACAATCAGGGACAACGATGAGTGGATGGTCAGACCTATCATTGATCTTCCCGTTTAACCAACGACCCCGTTTTGCAGAAGTGGAAAAACGTCAAACATCGGCAAACGTACGCACATATACAGATTTATCATATACAACGTGATTTCATTAATTCTAAGCAATCCTATGTAGCTACTTTAACTACACTCTCTTCATATCCATTATTCATATCCTTCATCTAGCATCTTGATATGATTTTATATTTTTCATATGGAAGTATGCTTAAAATTCTATGACTAAAGTAGAATAGGAATAGTCGATGATTTTAATCGTTACATGTGTGTGTGTGTGTGTGTGTGTGTGTGTGTGTGTGTATGTGTGTGTGTGTATTTCTTTTTCAATATGACCAAAAATAATACGTTGTCTACTCAGTTTCGCTTTCCTATTTCTTATAGATTGCCATTCTCTAAGACGTTTGTGATATACGTGAAACGATTGTTTATGAATATGTAATTCGCACCAATCGTTATTTTAATAAGAAAAAATACGAAGTAAACGAAAGTGATTTGATCTTTATTTGCATCAGCATCCACACAATCTTGTCTCTGAATGTATACACTCTGGGAATATCAACGCGCGTAGAGAAAGTATAAAGTCTCTCCTCGAAACATACAGTTCTCGTTTTACTTGCGCAAGATAAAAGTATGTGAGCTGCGTCGCAAAGATCTGCGAGTTTGCGTACGAAAAATTCGCGGACGTTCGCGATAACCCGGTGATTGGCGGGCTCTCAAAAATGCACGACGTGGAGAACGGCTCCAGTTAGAAAAAAGGGAAATCACATACGAGATAGGGAATAGGACTCAAGACTCGACCACGACGAGATAAAATCGATTGCATCTTCTAGCTAATTCTAAGTCGGCTTTCGTCGCGTGATCATCGGTATCTGCGTGTGTATGTGTGCGTATGTGTGTCTGTGTATGTATGTATGTATGTATACATGTGTGTCTCGCATTTGCTCATATGCATATATATGTATATGTGTTTTATTATATATATTTACGTGTGTGTATTTACGTGCATTTACGCGTGATCTCTTTGGTGTCTTGCGGTCCGCTTAAGTATAAATCTGTAGCAGTATCAAAATGGTAAAAATAGTGCATATGAAGACCATGAGCACGGGTAGGACCAGGATGAATCTGACGGAGCGGCTGAGGCCGCTTGACTCCTGTCATACGGCTTGCTCGCCGGACTCGGTGGAGGCGTCGAAGAGCGGCCGATCTGCAGGAGTTTCGCTCGACGTCGTCGACTTTGTGCCACCACCGTTCCCGGTGTTACCCTCCCGCCTGGTTTTATTCGAGCCCGAAAAACACAGACAGCCGGACTGGTTGCGATTCCGCTTCAACGTCGGCTTATTCTCACGGGCCTGTTCCGCTAAACACTTTTGATAGTAATCATAGTCTTTCAGATACCTGTTAAAAACAAATCGCAATTGTCAAAATTGGAGATTAAACGAGAGCGATCTTGAATAATACTAGAAGTGCCAAGTGGCTATTTTTGACCGTCTTTATTTTTATTAATATTTTAATATTTTTTTAATTATTAATATTTTTAATATTTTTTAATATTTTTTTCTAGTATTAAAGATATGATTTAAAAATGCTTTTATTTTAATATCCCAGCAGGATAAAGAGAGCAATTTATGACAAATTAGAAAACATTCAAATATTCGAAAATTCTTTTTTAAAAATATAGTTTTCAACAGAAAGATATTAATTTAGAAAATAGAAATGACTTGATTGGAAACAACTTTTTGATATTTCTTGTGTTAAATTTTTATCAATAATCGTTATTGAAGTAGACAAAGATCATTTATTTACATAAAAATAATGAAGTTAATAGGGCGAATAACATGTATTGTAAAAAAATTTACATGAGAACAACTCTTTAGATTTCTTTAAAATCAAAGAATAAGAAGAATTATGTCTTCGTACGTACCAGACCGGCGGCCATCGGTGCTCATTTAAATACTCCTGGTTCTCCGGATGTAACAGTCGCACGCTGCGAGGCGACATTTTGCACAGCTTATTGTAGTTAACACAAAGATGATTCATGCACCAATCGGCCAGCTGATCGGCATTGTGTAGCTGGAAATCGTAAGTAAGCGTTAAACGGGCACCGTTACCGCCGTATTATCGCGTCTTAATTGCTCGATATAAACGCGTCTTAATTGATTGATATAAATGCGTGAAAGAAACCAACCTTGCACGGCTCCAACAACCTCAGGCAGTTTTCGACGGCGTCGTTCCCCTCGTTTTGCGAAAGCCGCTCAAGATCCTCGATCACTCTGCTCTCGACTAGGTTCACCAATCGTTGAAGACAGAGTCTGTTGGCTAGTTCCAATAGGTTCAGGCATCTGGCCGAGGAGATCGCCGGTACTTCGTCCGTGTAAAGATAGCAGAGCAACTTGTGGAATGTGTACTCCCGTACCCCAGGAAAGACTATCTGTCGTTGCAATCGCGAAATGCAATTTTATTAATTAATTACTGTATTAATTTTTTATTAATTAATTATTTTTATTAATTACTTCTGATCGATCGCATTATACTTAATTTGTTCAAGGCACTTCTAGGCTAATTTTATAATATAAATATTCACGTTGAATCAATTATAACATTAACGATCAATTAAAGTTGTTTAATATTTTATAGAGTGTACTTACGACTTTTGCGCTGCTTTCGCGAAAATCGCCAGAGAACATGGCTTTCATCACGTCGCATCGGGCAGTGAGAATCGCTTTGTGGGCCGGTACGCTGCCGTCGTCCAACTCGAACATTACATCGGCAAAGAGACCTAGAGCATTATAATATATTAAATATATTATATTTTTTAGTCGGAAGCTCGTTCAACATCATGATAATTTTTCACTTGTTTTGAGCAGCACCCACCTTGCTCCAGGCAGATATCCTCCAATCGTTGTCTAACTACCTGCTTGTATCGGTTATTGAGATCGCTATTGACAAACTGCTCCCGCGTCTGTATGCTACCGAGCACCATGAGTAATTGCGGTAGCTCGAGGAATTCGGCCGCCTGTCTGATCTCCTGCGGGCAAGAGTAACCGCGACATCATGCCGATGCACCATCGCGACTTTCATCGACGTAGAATGAAATCGATTAAAAAAAGAAAGAAAGACACGAGATCTGAGATCGATTCCGGGTCGCTAAAGGACCTCCTACTAGGCAATGAATCTAGAATGTCGGTGAGAACAATTGGAAGCGTATCCATGCACGATTCCCTCCCCCCCCCCCTCCCATAATCGATCGAGGTCGTCCTCGAGGATCTTCCCGCTCGATGATGTCGATGGTCGCACGATACTACGGTAGCGATGATTCGTTTACTATAAGCTTAATGAGCATGACCTAAATGCCGAAGATTGATGTAGTTAGCCGTTAAATTGCACGACATTAAATAGATCTCTGCAGAAGACTGTTAATACGCGTCTACGTAAACAATTCTGGCAGACTTCAACAGCCTCTTAGCTTTCTGATATTAATGTGTGTTAACAAATAATTACTCTTTTAGCATTTGGTTAATTTTTTTAGCATTTTAATTCTCGGAAATATGTCGAGTTTGAAAACTCGTAGTTAGAAAGACGCATGCTCGTATGATGATATGATCACGCTATTAAATCTTTGAAGTCGAAACAGATCAGCTAGATGAGGCTACTATGTGCGTGCGTGCGTGCGCATGTAACGTGTACGTATGTATTAATGCGACTGCCAAATTTCCAAACGCATTTCGCTTTGTACTAACCAGTAGAAGCCCGATAGGAGCTGTCTGAAAGAATAGAGCCGCGTTAGTTACTGTATATTCTGCAACAGTTACGATTTTAGCTCACGCTCTTAAGAGATCATACAAGTACACAACGTGTCTCTTATCAAACGCGATACGTCGAAAATACAGTACAGCCGACTGGTCGGCTGGTATTTCTCAAATTACATAACTGACGTAACGTAAATATATCGCTGCATAATTATTTTAGAAACAACACAGCTTGCGCGACCGCAAGGGCAATCAAGCTGAAAATCGATATTTATTCGATCGAGTCTTTATCTTATCTTATCTGTCGTAAGACTGCGGGCTAGATCGCTCCTCATTGTTCAGTTCACCCGGGATTATACCTGCTTCTTCCGTTCGCTTTTATTTTACGCGCGTTTTACTTCTCACGGGAGATAAACAAGGATGTCTTCTTACATTCTCGAATGTACCTTTTCTCTTATGATAATTTCTACCGACCCAACGTACTTGTAGATCGTGATACCGTTTGTCCAAGCTGCCCGTGTAAATGAATTGCAAGCACTGCTGCATCGCCTGCGGCGTGATCAGCTTCGACAGCGTGATCACGGTCATAGGTTGCTGCACTCCGTTCGCATTCTCAGTCTGTAAAGTGTGTTCGAGATTAACGACAGGACGATTCCTCGTGCGAATCTCACGTGATGCGGGAGCAACGATCAATATCTCTCACCATACATATACGAATATTTTGGAAGGCAGGATGATTCAGCTCCCTCGTCGCGCCGTTGCTCTTCCTCTGATTATCCATCGTCGGCAGTACTTGAAAACTCGATCGTCGCTTAAGTTGTTCCCAGACTCTGCAACGTACGTGACCGGTTTGTACGAGACTCATCTTCGCTGAACGAGATGAAGTATACAAACTTTTTTTTTTTTATTAAAGAAATATTGCAAACTCTGTTCCGTCGCTACGTAAGTCGAATGTGCCGATATTTAAAGACCGTGCAAATGCTAAGGGGGGCTGCATCTAACTCTTTATTTGGCAATAGTATTTTCAAGCGATGTTAGAGTTATGCATGATCGAAGCGTTTCAATCGCCTGCCCTTCTGTTAGTCATCAAGCTCAAGCGACATTTAATGCGCACGTTAGCATGTTAGTTAGCAACGCCTGCCGCAAGATTAAACATGTTTTGTCACGTGTTGATTGCGGCTTGCCAAATAAAGGGTTAATTGACGCAAGAATAAACATACGAGGAAGCATTAACTCACTTTGCGGGTTTGCTTTGATCGATACGAATTAGGCACTCGGTATCGTCGTTGAAGTCACCGACGGTGGCCTCGCCGAAAGTGCTCACCTTGACGAGACAATAAGGGAAACATGTGTTATTGTGTTATCCTGTTACTACCTCCGAACCTGATAGAGCTGGCATATACCATGCTGGACTCGCTAGAGCTGCGTGGAGTCAGTTCCTGGGCGAGTTCCATCGAGAACAGCCGGTGGAACGCCGGCGAGGCAGCGGCGAGCAAGCACCGATGAGCCAGGAACGTGCAATTACTCGTTACCAGAGTGACATCCGTGTGAACTGGCTTCGTCCATAGACTTTTCATATTCTCCTCATAGGTACTCGCAGCCAGGCATACCTTCGGTGGTACTGGTTTCGGTGGACAGAATGGCGCCTGTCAAAATCATAGTCTATTATCATTTGCATAGAAAATAATACAAATGATGTTCTCGATTAAACATCTGTGAATTCTTTTCAAATAATTCTTTATCAAATCTTAATTTTATATCTTATTCCGAAATAATAAGTAAAATCATCTCTTCATCTCTGTACTGGAAGCTAAATTTATCGCAACATTTTTTGTTACCTGTAACAAAGGTCTTTGCACCCTTTTCAAATTCGTCATCCAGAAACGCTGCTGACGGCGTGCAATCAAGGCGGCACGTATCGAATTCTCGAACACCTCGTTTACACCGTAATAAGTGAAAACGCTTGTCTCGTAATAACACACACCAAGTTCTCGCGCTACCGCCCGTGCCTGATCCGGCATCACCAAATCGCTCTTTCTCGTAGCCCTGTAAATAATCACAACTAAAGTAAATTATATTTAAGATGTAATCGTTATCGTCAAGATATTACTAATAAAAAAGATGAAATTGAAAAACAATAAAGTCCTCCCGACCATAGCTGTGTAAAGAGGAGGATTTATTAAAAGTTACAAAAAACTTTCTGGCTTCCTCTTGAGGGAATAATGTGTGTCAAGGTTCAATTAATTTTGACTCGACTCGATTACTCAAGGAATTTTAAGCTTTGCAATCGATTAACCAGCGCCGTTATGAAATTTGCTGCGGTATAAACTGATCGTGATGAATAGTTTTTGTCGGTAAAAGAAGCTCGAAGAAGCTCACGGGAACTAAAAGAATCAATACTACGATACACTTCAGTAAATTGATTACCGTTGAAGAAGCACCGATGCGAATGAATGAGTTTCACACGAAACAGCTAAAAAAAAATTGGATATAGCTATACATGAATTTCATTCGTGACTAAAAAAAGTCGTGATCAATGAAAATAACTAAATATGTGTGGTTTTTTGAAAAAATCTTTTTTTATGTATTTTAGAACACTCGACTTTATTAATATCTATTTTATAAGATTAAAGATTAGTCAAATATGAAAATTAGTCAAGATAAAAATTAAATACATCATTGCATTTTTCACAATTCACATTTTTCACAATTCCATATTATATTTAGAAAAACAAAAAAAAATTTTTAAACACAAAACTATAAAATTAAAAAATTTTTAAAGTTTAAAAATCAAAGATTTTGAAGTTTTGAAATTTTGAAGAAATTGACATTTTCTAAGTTTTTTGAATTGAATTTTGCAAAAAGAACATCCATTAAATTTTTTCAATTTTTTAAATACTTTTTTCTTAATTAATTTTTTAAAGAAAATAATTTACCTTACAAAAGGACTGCGATCGCGGAAGTAACTGAGATAAGTTTCGTCCCGGTACATGTATCGTAGATCGTTTTTGCATCCGACCAATAGGACTGGTGTCTGCGGGCAGAACCTCCTTATCTCGGGGTACCACATTACCTTGCAGTTTCGCAAGGAAACGGGGTTGGTTATGGAGAAACATAGTAACACAACGTCAGACCTAGTACAACCCTTCCAATTAATATCGATTCGCGTAAAAATTCCGCTTAGCGACAGTCTTACCTGCCGTACGCGAAACGTCGATCCTTCTCGTGATCGCCAAATGTGTCCCAGAGACGTAAAGACACGTTCACGTTATCTACTACCTCCCAAGATCGCTCCAATACCTGATACATATCATATTCTATATTATTTATTATAACTATAATATACAAATAATTTGATAAAAATATAAATATGCTTTTATCTCAAATCCGAATAGAAAGAATTACCTTGTAACACTTTGAAATTTTCATCGATTTTCATTAAACTATTTCGCGTACTAATTATAATATATAAAATCGCGTATATATAATAATAATAATTATAATATATAAATTCGCGTCTAATTATATTATATAAAATCTTAAATTTATACTATCACTGATTACACATAACTTCGATTTAAATTCGAGCAATAATTGCATCAAACGTGTCCTTAAGTGAGATTGAGAAGGAGCACGGGAAGGGACCATAATCCGTCATATGCGGACTCACATCCTTGTAGATCCGATACTGGTCGATCGCCCAGACCGTGGGCACGTGAGTGGTCAGGAGTTGTGACAGTGACACGTGCTTGTTGCAGGCCCTGGCACAGATCAGTCTGGTCTTTCCGACTGCCGTATCACCCACGACCACACACTTGACCAGTTCCTGGTGCGGTTGCTCATTGTCCATCACCGGCAGTCTCCCCTGCTCATGCAATATGCCCTCTCACCTGCCAGATCGCTCGAGTTCTCCGCTGTCTCCGACACAGATGATACTACCGCTGACGTCTCCGTAGCCGCCAAGTGCGTGCACCACATCCGACAACCGGATCCGAACACGACGTCCTCGACCTCGCCGTCGATAGGATATGTGCTAAAACTAAAAACACGGAAGCGATGCGTCAGTGTGCGGCAGACGCGATGTTTGCTCACTCAATAGTCTTTTCCACTTGCAATAGTCCCGATAATATCTCAATCTTCCATAATGTAACATGTATATCGAGAAGGACGCTCGTTCTTCGAAAGCAAAGTCACGACAATAAAGCTCTTAAGTGGACACTTAGCCTCCGAACGAGGACATGTAAATGTTACGTCGTGCTTTTCATAGTTGTTTGTTGCACAATGTCGTGATTGTAAGTATATACATACTTTTGGTATATACGTACATATATACTCTATATACTTCACGTTAAATACTCTATTTTGCGTTTGCTATGTGAAGTATTCAAAGATTTATATCCACCCCCTCTGGAATAAATAAGTTTACTTAACTTTTTGCATTGGCATAGCAAATCGTAATTACTATGAGCAGATTATAACTTAGATTAATAATTATATTTTAACATTCTTTCCTTCTCAAATCTCCTTGACCTCTTCAATCATATTTTAGGACAATCGAAAACAAGAAAAGTGGAGAAGAAAATTATATTCGTGCCGAAAATAATTTACGACTGGATGGATGCCGTCATTCATCATAGCAAAATAAAACGATAATTTTGACAAATTATGAAGATTGCATGATTGCAATATATTCAGAAAAAGGATAGTTGTACGTATTGGCAAACGTATTTTAAGCACAGCAGGATAAAAATCTGAAACATTAGGTCGTTCTAAATACGTATTAGGGTAGCTACTATGTGTATATATATATATATATTTGAATGTGATTTAATTTTAGAAAAGGGTTTTCATCTATATTTAGAATCGAAGCTTCGCGATCTTAATCTCAATTTCCATATTGCCTTAATCCTGTATGCACAGATATAGCATTCCTCTGCCTAATTCATTCTCAAAATCCTCGCCGCTCGGTGAACTTCATTCTCGGTACCTGCACGCTATATTTAAACCCCCTTTTATGAATTTCCATTCAACATCTCGTCGGCTTTTACTTCGTAACTCTAATTTCTGTACAAAAGAAGTTGTCTGTTCATCGTTACATTCAATTTTATAGATTCATATGAATGTTATATCGATGTTATATGGATGAACCATCGGAATATGCTGCAGCATATTTAAAGATGCTTGGAAGCAACAAGACTCCCACAGACAGTTATATACGCATATATTATTTAAATATTCATCAACGTTAGATAAAGTCATATTTAATTATTAAACATCGTTCGATTTTCCCGATATTAAAGAATTGAGTTCTATTATTGATAAACTCAATTTTTATTTTCTATTAAAATCCAAATGTTTTCTCTATATAAAAATTTATATTAAATTTCGCAATTAGATGTTATATACACTTTTATTGTTAAAATTTAAACAACATAGCTGTAATATAAATTCAAATCTTTTCGAGATGTTTTTCTTCCGAAACGATTTTCCTCCACAAAAATTTGCAACAATTTACAACACGCTATTTTCTAAATTACAAACATCCTTGAAAACAAAGTTGAATAGCGAACATAACGTTTTATTATAAGTAATCAAAGTTAAATTCTATTTCATTTGTCACCACCGACAATCTATAGTCTGTTCGCAATCAACACAACTCCAGATTTAATCTTGTCGTGCGAAATAGGTAAAGGCGCATAGTAAGAAAACTTGAATTAGTTTCCCCGCGACTTTCATGTCAAACGCATCCCAAGGTAACGCTCGCTGCATACAACAGAGTATAATGTTATAATATCCGCTTGTTACGATACTGTGCGTCTAGAGGAAACATGTCGATAATACTAGATGACAACTACTCGAGATATGCAAAACGTAATATTCACTGAGTCACGATGCGAAACTCGAAAGGCTCGTCGCTCAATAGTCCGCCTGTTTCGCTGACGCTTTCCGGGAAGTGTCTTTGGACGAGACCTACTTTCACGAAATGGAATTTGTGGCAAGTGTCCGCTCTCCATTCATTCAACGAATCGGCTACATCATGCATCTCGATTAAAAATGAATTGGAAATGGAATATGTATATCCGCCCGTTCCGTGTCCGACCGATCGCATCGATGAAGAGCTTCATATGTAAAATTATTGATCGCTAAGGGTGGTAGATAATTAGTACAATCTGGCTCTTCGCGTGTCAATCTGACCTCGTATTTTTAGATATCATATAATCTGCAAATATAATCGTTTCTCTTATCGCGTCCTATTGAGCGTTAACGACGCTGAATCGATAAATAGATGACGACCGCGTAATCCGCCGCAATGGAACAATATTTTAAAATCCCGTCGAATGATGTTTTCTTCTCAACTGGATCGTTATTGCTGTAATTTTGTGTGATCCGCTGCGCGATACGCGAGAGTTGTATCTCGGTTCAAATTGGTGACGAGGCTAAGATATTATGCAGCAATCATCGCGCATATGCTATAGATGCTATAGATAGCTCAGTTCTTTTGATCTATTATGAGTCGTAAATAGCCAATCTTCCAAGCTAAAACTGGCTTTAATTTTTTAAAATTACCAAACGTCATACCAAGAAGAGTTTCTGCAAGAGTAAATGTATTCTAAGAAATGACATGTGCTGATTCCCTAAGGAAATGTTTAAATGCAATACCTTTCGTCATTGTGTAAATATCCCCCAGCTTTTTGACACGCTTGCAAACGCGATATAATTTATGTGAACAAATTAGTACAATCGTGTTCCAAGCAATATGTAATAAATCAAGCGTGTAATACAGTTATTACGTGTACGACAAAGCAAGCTAATATACAGATAGTTTACGTCAGTACAGAAGCAGCAAAAGTCGTCATCAACTTTTAGCAGGACTCCATCGATCTTTAGCAATATGACGTTAAGTTGTTTTCGTATTTTCTGCTATGCTACGCACCATAAAATTGCGACAGGCAATAATTGAAATGAACGCTTTGTCTAAAACAAAAGCGTTTGGCTCAAAGAGGAAATAAAACGATTTGTTCAAAACAAAAGCAAATTAAAGCAAATTAAATTTGAACGTGATAGAAAGTAAAAATTACATTTATTAACAAATTAAGAATTAAAAAACGACAAATGCTACAATTTTTTTTAAACTAATTATAAATTGTATGTCTTTCCTTAGTGTTTTCAACAATATAAATTATAATAAATTTTGCTTTTTTCGATCAAATATCGCAACCGTTGTTATTAAAAAAACAATAATATATTATAGTATATATTTGATAATAGCTAAAAATATTTAATTCTCAATTGATGTCCTAAAATACCATCTCAATTTAGAAAATTAATTAACATATAACACTTATTATCAATTATACGATATTTGAACAAGCATCCTGTTGTCGCATCTTTCTAATTTCAGAATTAATTTCAGAATTTAAAACATCTAAATTTCATAAATTTTTTCATCAATTTAATAATAATTTTGTTGTTATTGTACTTTATTAATTGAAAGAAACTCATTTATTTTTCATGCAAAGATTACTATTGTGATAAGCAATGAAATAGTCAGTAGTCAATAGTCTATAGTCTATAGCAATGAAATTGCTATTATTAATAACCAATGAAATAATTAATGTAATTACGTCAATTATGCAGTAATAAATCTAAACTAAATGACATCTAAATTTTTCACAAATTTTTTAAGAATAAGCGGAGGCACTCCAAATAACCTAAAGTAGCGTTACAATTTTAAAAAAGTATTTTGTAATATTTATTAATATTTTCTTTTTTCCGCTTTTTTCTTTAAAATTAATAAGAAGAATTACGCAAAGTAATTGGAAATAAAGCTACAATTTTATAAAAAAACATTTTACGATATTTATTTGCTGTCTTTTGTTGTAAAACACAAAGAAATTAATGTATAATCAATGTAACATATATAGCTAATTAGCCCTTAATGTGATTATGTATTTTTGTGTATTCTGAAACTTTAATCAATGACACGTCAGACGAGCTATTTCCAAGGTTTTAAATTGATTTTAGTTTCTATTTCACTATCCTATATATGTGCATTTACAAGAGCGTATTTAGTTAGAGAAATATCGTCCTGACGTCATCGATATACATAGCAGAAACGACTATTAGTCCGCTTTAAATAGTCAAATCCTAATAACATTGCTGTGTATTTTCGTAGATTCGCAACGAATAGCAAATTTAACGGGTTCGTGAAATCCCTTTTCAAATATCCCTTTATGTTAATAATTTGTGTTAATAATTGTGTTAATAATAATTTCTTGCGCGCAATAGAGAATTTTACCATTTAAATAATATTAAATATCAAACATATCAATGTTATATCATAATATCTGTTAAAGCTCGTAGTGTGTACAATTTTAACAGTTGTTAATTATTTCCCTTTTATCTCCCACCTTTTTACGATTACTTATTGTGATATTTCTACGTACGTTCCTTCCGGAAGTATCTCTGTATAATGGAAAACGCGATTCAGCGCGAACGTAGAGGTATATATGACGCCTGATGTGCCCGCATTTTAGTCGACTAGTCGCGAGAGGAGAGGAGAACGGATGTAGAACGTGCGGGAACGGACTGTAGATACCGCCAGCGGCGGCGGCGTTGCTAGAAACCGTTGCTGACGCATTGCAGAACGGGTCGCAGGGAGGTCAACCGCGAGCGAGTAGAAGAGAGGACCGGGCCGCCGCCGTCGGCAAGTGTAATGGGAAAAAATCGAGTAGGCGGGTAGCTGCGGGTCGGCGCACTACCCTCCGCTTTCTTCCATTCTCCTTGTTCATTTTATCTCGTTACCTCGCTTGCCTTCTTCGCTATCGAGCCGTCGCGTCGTCGCGCCGCGCCGCGCCGCGCCGCTTCGCCGAGCGGCGTGTAAATCAATCCGGCCGAAGGACGGTCCAAGTCCAAGAATTGCACGCGGGGTCAACGAGCCGCGCAACGGCCGGCCGCGTCCGTCCGTCGGCCGCATTAATTAGGTAAACGGTGTTCTTATTGCCGACCTCTTTCAGCGGCTGAATCTGCGACGGTGTACGCGGTGTTCCTTCTGCCAGCCCTCCGTCGTGATGCCTGTCACCGAAACTCACATCGGAGTCACGTTCCGCCGGAAATCCGTAGCGTGTCGCGTATCACGTGTACCTGTCGATCGTAGATACGTAGATTCTGTCACGCGTTTCCGACGCCCTTATCTCTGGTCCCGTCACTTCGACATCACCTCGACGGAGGAGCTGCGAGACCGTTCGAGCTCGTCTCGAGACGCGAGCGATAGGATCGCAAACGGCATTGGCACGCGCCGCTTAAATCGCGATACACGTAACAATCGGCGCGGTCGTTAGGGCAAATGATCACGACGTACCGCAACGCGCCGAGCGACACGGCGCGTCTCGTACAATGTTCGATGCGAGAGGGCATAAATCAATTTTTAACTATGCCGCGCGGCTGTGGGTCGATGGTCGAGTTCCGATCTTCATTGGTACTTTGCGCGTCCTCGCGAATGGTTACTCGGGGCATAATCGTTTCCATGTATCATCGACGTGACCAATTGCGGGGAGGTACACGGAATTGCGTCGCTTGAGGAAAAATGATCGTGGCGACGAGGAAAAACAGGTACAATAGAGCTATTGCGGTAATAACAAGATTATTACGATGAGAACGAGAAATACATTGGCCGCACTCGCGATTGGAGCAAGTGGAGGTAGTAACTCGCCTGATCGAATGATGTGTACAATCGAGTGATGTATATGCACATGACATATGATAACGATGACATATGTGTATACTCTGCCTGTAACACGTGCGGATACGTGTAACGTCTATGTTGAATCGATTTTCACGCCGCGACCTTAAGAATCCTAAACATTTTTAGCAACATTAACATCGCAAGGCCAGGGTACCGCGAGTTCGAGGCTCGTCTCTGCATCGCGGCGGGGACGTTCGCACTCGCATTGCAGACAGTGCTCTCTTATATAAGTTAAAAGCGAGATGGACAGATAGAGCTGAAGAGAGAAAGAGAGAACTTAGAGATAAATAGGTGAAATAATAGTCAACGACCACGCGACGATAAAGCATACCGACGCCGAACGCAGCGATGCTCAATCGAACATCTAAATTTTATTGTGGATGTTTCTTTTTTCCTAATATCTACGTCTTGTTGAAAATACTCGGGAATATCACGGGAGGGTCGTCACCGAGAGAACGACCGTCTCTCCGACTCGTGAATATGACTGGAATGGAAACAACGCCGTCGACGTTGACTTACAACTTTGTCATTCAGCCAAAGCACGGATCTGAACTTTGCGCGAGATCAGTTTACATTAAACATCTTTTTTCTTGCTGACGTCTTTCTCACGACGTACACACTCACAATGGTCCCCCGCGAAATGATGTTAGAAAATTGCGAAAATCGTACAACGCGAAGTAGTCCAAGACCCGAGATCTTTTCCTCTTCTCCCTATCTTTCTCTTTCTCTTTCTTTTTTCGATGACAGATGTATGCTGGCCGTTCACTCTGATTGATGGATGTTACACGCGACGAGTTTAACGAGGCACGTTCCTTCGCGCGAGCAAAGAGCATAGAATGTATATATATATATATATATATATATATATATATCTACGTATATCTATGTAGACTGACTGCGTAGCCGAGAAGAGGGACAGCGATAAAAGGAGAAAGATGAAAAGAGAAGATCGAATTCAGTCGCACTCAAGAAATTATTACCCGCGTGCACTCTCGCGCCTGTTGACGGTGGGGTGTACTCGAGCGGATGTCTCCTTTATCAGGACAGAAGGGCAGAAGGCCACCCTTTCCTCCGTGTAGGGTGGACAAACGTAGATTGCACCACGTCGCGAATCGCGGTGTAACAATGATGGGTAAAAGTCTAACGATCGCCGCTCCTCCGTTCCTCCCGTCTGCAGCCGCTGTCGTCTGTCGGAGCGCGGCGACGGACTAGAAGCTGCAACGGCGGCACATCGCGCAACCAGGACGTTCCACGCAAGTTCCAGCTGACGTCCTGGCAGGGCGGGCGTTCGAGGAGGGGCATTCCACCGAGACGAGGAAGGAAAGAACACACTCTCTTCAAACCGAAACCGCGCTCCACGTTGGACCTTCGCTCCGATCTGCCCCTGAATTGACGCTCGATCGTATCCCGATCGGCGGAAAAATTTGCCGATTTCTCAACGATACCGTTCCGTCACGGGATAGTTCTTTCTTCCCCCCGCGCGCGCGTTCTCCAACGTTCTCCGCGATAAGAGCTTCCGAGAGGACGGTCGCGCGATCGGAAATCCCCGTTTGCTGAATCGGACGTCCCTTTACTCGTGTCTCGCGCATCCACCCTTCTATGATCCTCCTTCTCCC